GAGTGTCAGCTGCAAGTCGGATATTCAGGATACCATGCAATCAACATTCAGCTTCAGCTCCTATTCTGACTGTTTCACCTTCACCAATATCTACCATGAATCCTACAGTTGGAGGTTAGCAAGAGACTCTTACCTTCAGACACAATGTCGAGTGTGTATTCCACTAACCCCCAACTCCATTGTCCACTGTAAGACTGTAGTCCCCGAAGTCCTGTTGCTGGAGGTTAGTAAGGTGTAGTCTGGCAGTGACTGAGATGTCTGAGACAGGGCTGGAGGAACCAGTGAGGTCCTGGGTGGTGCTGATGGATCTACTCCAGGTGAATGTAGGAAGGGGATAGGCCAGGACTGACACAGACACAGTCACGTCACCACCCAGTCTAGCGGCGTACTTGAGTTGCTGTGAAACTGTCCCATCTAGTCGAGGAGAACCTGACCAAACGAAAGGAAATTCGAGATACAAGTGTGTATGTATTGTGAGCGAAGTTAAGGTATTCGATATTGTCTAAACACAAACTTTAACAGGATGATCCCAATTAGTGTCGCCCTCCTCTGATGCAAATATAAAATTACCACGTTCTGAATGGTTTAACTGGTGAAGTCATTGATGAGCTATCAAAAGCACAAAGCTAGGTCATGGCAGCCAACATAAAATATGAAGATGTTACATGTTTCACATGTTTAAGTCCCTGTTGAAAAGGTAATTTGGTTTCTGCACTATAGATTAATGTATTGTATACAAGATTTCAACTTCTAGTATAACCTTGAAACTTAGTCGCCTTAGAATCACAGAGTATATAAAATTAAAAAGGCTAAAATGCCGTTTTCAGACAGACGTGTAAATGGTCTGATTTGATATCGTTCATGGTAGGGACAGTGGGGTAGTCTTGTGGTTAAAGCGTTCGCTCGTCACGCCGAAGACACGGGTTTCGATTACTGACATGGGTACAATGTATGAAGGCTATTTCTGGTGTCCCACACCGTGATATTGCTGGAATATTGCTAAAAGCGTCGTAAAACTAAACTCACTCACAGACTCGTTTATGGTATGGCTCCATTAAAGATATTTCTTTGAATAGTTGGAATTAGTAGACTATTCAACAATCATTTACTTCACTTTTTGTTTTTAGTGGTCTAGATACATACTGGAATTCTGAGATCATCACAATTATGATTCTGGCTTTGAACTACTCTCGTGCCTTTAATAGGTACGTTAAATGTTGAAGCCGTGTGTCACTTTGAGCTAGCCCTTAATTCGGATGACACTCACTAGCTCCCTCCCTGCTATCCTCCCTCATTCACTCACTCACTCGTGCGCACACGCACCAAAATAATAATGAATAAATACATAAAAATATTTTATTGCTTTGATATGATTATGTTATCATGACAATCACATTCTGCCTTGGTACATATCACCTACAGTTGCTGAAAATGAAATACTCACATTTAACCAGCAACTCCACCCTCTGGCTGACAGGTGCCCCGATGTTGTTGGTGGCAGTACAGGAGTAGTTCCCTCTTTGTCTACAGTCTGCTGACTCCAGTCTATATGTTGCTGTCAGGGAGTTATCTGCCCTTGTCAACTCCTCAGTTCCATTCAGTAACCTGATGACTGACCTTGGATTACTGTCTACCTGGCAGCTCAAGGTGGCTGGGTCAGACTCGTTAACTGTCACTGAACCACTGAGTGAGTTGGCCGTAAACATATTTATAGTGACAGGATCTGAAATTGCGTCAACGTTATCAATATCAACATCTGGAAATAAATATAGTGGTAGGTCAAAATAGTCGCGTTCTGGGGCTGATGAAGGTTTTATGATTTTTCAATAAATAGTTAAAAACATTTTCCCTTCCATTAAATACTATATCGTGAATGACATTCACGGGGTCAGATCTCACTACAGATGTACCCACACTTTACCACTGACCATATATTTATGCTACAAGCATTATGTTCAAAATGTCAGAATCCAATTTTTTGTGCATTTATTGGTTTTATAAAGACGTTTGATTATGTTGACATGCCCGCCTCTGTGGTGTAGTGGTTAGAGCGTCCGTCCAGAGAGCGGAAGGTCGCGGAGTTCGATCCCCGACCTCGTCAAACGGAAAGACGTTAAAATATGGTACTTGTTGGTCCCTGACTGGCGCTCGGCATTAATGGGTACAACAAGGACTGGTCGGCTCGAGTCAGTATAATGTGTCTGAGTGGGGTATTCATGCTTCACTGCGGCATGGTATCTCAGTGGGCTAGCCCTATAAAACCAGCTTCAGTCTGGGCTAGTACAAGCAGCCGCACATACACACACACGCATGCACGTCGTCATATGAGCGAAATATTCTCCAGCACGACGTTAAACCCAATTTCACCTCACCTCACCTCATCTCACCTTATGTTGACATGACCACTACTGTTATATATACTCTTACATAGAAGATTTCATGTCATGGTTAAATATGTTAAAAAGAAGTGTGTATACATTAGTGAAAGCAGGTCTAATGGTTGGCTGGGTATGTTTTAGCCCGTCTTCTTTATATTCTGTTTCTGTACTAAAATCTTATTTGCCGATGACATTGTGCTTTTCACCAGTACTATTCGCGGCCGGCAATGGCAGGTACATCTTGTAGATACAAAGTGTACGAATCGGGGAGTGTGTTTACATCTTGATAAACAAATAATATTTTATTTAGAAATGGAGGAAACACTGAAGATATTTCAGTATGATTCATTTGACAAAGCTGGAAGATGTGATGGTACCTATTAGATAGCTGCGTATAGACATCGCAAATGCTTTCGTCTGTCATTTCATATCAAAGATTTCCATGTGTCTGGAAAGTACTCGTGACGGACGGAGGAAACATGTTCCTGTATTGTGCCACTGCTGGGCCAACGTCTACATGTGGGTTCGGACAAGCGATTACTATGACGGTACTAAGACGGTCAGCGTTCAGCGTTCAGCGTTCAGCGTTCAGCACTCGAGGTAATAGGTTACTGAACACGTCTCTTCGAACTTATGCACTGAACTTCAAGCTAAACTCCTGGAAAAGCTTTCTTAATGTTTTTGATCAGTGCAACTACTTCATTGAATTAGAGATTCCGATTCGCAATTATGCACTGAACTAGTACAAGTTAGGGATTGCAAAATACAAAGAGACTATAGAAGTATCATCGACTGAAAGTTTATTTTGAATACTCCAAGTGTACATATTTCACCTGAGAGACAAAGTCAGCCTGATTAAGAGGCAAAACGCCTACTACCAATAACATGTTTAGATATTTTTCTATTGGATTAAGCCTTTGGAGATGAATGTAAATCGGTAACCCTTCCAAGGTAACGGTATGCTTTAAGCATTACTTGAGAATGGTAAAGTCAATTGGGCATCGTATGTAAGACAATTTTATTGAATATCGATTTTGCATATGTGTGGGTATACCAAGATGTTGGTAATAAGAACATGCTTCTGTCGGCATTGTGATGACGCCTAAGATATATTTATTTTCAAACATGTTATCACAGTTTGGAGTCTTTTACTGTCTTAGAGCATTATGCTTATCAGACATCTCTGACTTATATACAATTGTACTCCCCGATGATAATAATGTACATTCTAACCATCCATGATATTAATGTACTACACTTGATAGCAATATGTTTAGGTAAGTTATTTAAATGAGATCAATAGAGATGTAACAGTTTAAATATGTAACCTAAATATACTTTATCTTCCAGCTGTACTATGGGCCATGTGGCCTGAAATAAACTCGATTGCAGTTCTCACAATGATACTTACACTGTACATCCACTGTCACCTCCACAGAGTCAGATCTCACTACAGATGTCCCCACACAAGGACTGAGGGTGTTGGTAGCTGTACACACATATGTCCAGTATTCTAACAATGATACTTACATTGTACATCCACTGTCACCTCCACAGAGCCAGATCTCACTACAGATGTCCCCACACAAGGACTGAGGGTGTTGGTAGCTGTACACACATATGTCCAGTATTTTAACAATGATACTTACACTGTACATCCACTGTCACCTCCACAGAGTCAGATCACACTACAGATGTCCCCACACAAGGACTGAGGGTGTTGGTAGCTGTACACACATATGTCTTACAGTATTCACCTCCAACAATGATGTCCCCACTTTGTACATTGTATCCACTGTCACCTCCACAGAGTCAGATCTCACTACAGATGTCCCCACACAAGGCCTGAGGGTGTTTGGAGCTGTACACACATATGTCCAGTATTTTAACAATGATACTTACTCTGTACATCCACTGTCATCTCCACAGAGTCAGATCACACTACAGATGTCCCCACACAAGGACTGAGGGTGTTGGTAGCTGTACACACATATGTCCAGTATTTTAACAATGATACTTACACTGTACATCCACTGTCACCTCCACAGAGTCAGATCTCACTACAGATGTCCCCACACAAGGACTGAGGGTGTTGGTAGCTGTACACACATATGTCCAGTATTTTAACAATGATACTTACACTGTACATCCACTGTCACCTCCACAGAGTCAGATCTCACTACAGATGTCCCACACACAAGGACTGAGGGTGTTTGGAGCTGTACACACATATGTCCAGTATTTTAACAATGATACTTACTCTGTACATCCACTGTCATCTCCACAGAGTCAGATCTCACTACAGATGTCCCCACACAAGGACTGAGGGTGTTGGTAGCTGTACACACATATGTCCAGTATTTTAACAATGATACTTACACTGTACATCCACTGTCACCTCCACAGAGTCAGATCTCACTACAGATGTCCCCACACAAGGACTGAGGGTGTTGGTAGCTGTACACACATATGTCCAGTATTTTAACAATGATACTTACACTGTACATCCACTGTCACCTCCACAGAGTCAGATCTCACTACAGATGTCCCCACACAAGGACTGAGGGTGTTGGTAGCTGTACACACATATGTCCAGTATTCTAACAATGATACTTACACTGTACATCCACTGTCACCTCCACAGAGTCAGATCTCACTACAGATGTCCCCCCACAAGGACTGAGGGTGTTGGTAGCTGTACACACATATGTCCCTGCCTGTGATCTCTGTATGTTACTGATGGTCAGAGTAGATCCAGTCTGAGGAGTAAAGTTGCCACCATCTTTCCTTGTCCATGTCACAGCTGCTGCAGGTTTGGAGTCCACAGAGCAGGTCGCAGTCAGAGTCTGTCCCTCTGTCACAGTCTGAGTGGAGGCAGCAACAGACACAGATGGACCGTCTGGGATTGAGAAAAGTAACGACAAAACAAAGCTCATGTAAAGGCAAGTGTATCAGTGACGTATAACACAGACGATGACGCATACTATACGCCAGTAAACAGTGACTAACTCTTTTTCGTGAGATATTGAACTTTGTAACAAAACAAGCCCTGTTAAGCAATGTCATTTCCATATTGATTGTATATAACTCTATTATCAAACCTCTTATAAAATTATTTCGTTGTTCTACCAAGAGTTCACCCTTTGCAACATTTTTCGTGTGTATTCATCTTAGGTAAAAAATCGTAGTGTGCTGTTTAATATTTCCTTTCATTCATTTTTCTGGGATAGAAAATAGTCAGGAAAAATAAAGTGCGTTAGTGAGTTAATAATTATCATCACATCGGCAATATTTCCAGCCACATCGTGACGAGAACAATTAATTATCATTTTGATAATCAATGCAATTAGAAATTCAAAATCTGTTGACGAAGAACAGTAAAGCTACTAGTATATCACAGATATTAAAGTAAAACTATCATGCTGTCATGAAAGGGGTATTATTAAATAGAACAGTACAATATTAAAATGGGCTATAGCTTGCCACCAACTGAAGGTAGATCACCATGCTACGGAGAACAAAGCTCAAGTAAGGCAAGTGTATCAATGTCAGAAGTCACAGGGAATGAAACATAATATCACGTTTGAAAACAGTGAAAGACACTTCTTGGTGATAGCCTCAACATTGGAGAGAAACACTAGGATGTCACAATCACTGCTGTTTAATATGTATCATTTGTATACTGACTATACGAAACAGCATTATCAAACTTTTCTCAAATTTCCTATTTTGTCCTTCCAAGACAATCTCATTGCAATCTCTTTCGTGTGCATTTATTCTATGAGGACAGAATAGTAGTGAGATTTCTGCTTGTTAAATATTTCTTCCTATTCGGACCTAATGATGAATGAATGAATGAATGAATGAATGTCTATATTTCCTCCAAAATATATTCGAAGATAACATAAACAAACATCAGTCAGTTACATATATCTACATATGATATGTACAAAGCACGGTTATTTACAACAATGATAGTTCAGAAAGTATACATGAAGGAATCCTTTAAAGAATAGATATAGTTCGAAAAATGTAGTATCATGGTTTGCCATGCTGTTTCATGAAGGCCATGGATGTGAAGTTTTGCACCACAAAACAGTACAAGGGCATCTTCATCATCAAGCATTTCAATTAATACATATAATTCTACGTCCAGTAGGTCAAGTAGCGTCATATAAAAAATTATTTCTTTGGCTCATTACAGATTCACAATGCAAAATGATGTGGGCATCGTGGTCAATAGCAGTACTTATTACAAAGCATACATTCTTTTGAGAATTTTGCTTTAGAACCGACTAGTACAGCAAGTTGTATATGGTCTTTATATTCTGGGTACAGATACATTAGAGTGTAAAGTCTATGTAGACTCAGTGTTTGATGGATTACAGCATATCTGGACATATCCTCTCTAATGGAGTGTCTTCAGAAGAGAAGATACAACTTATAACTTTCTGCGCCAAACTGTCTTTTGACGGTAAAATACCAGTTTGCACGTAAGTTGATATATAGTCCAATAGATTATACTTCCATGCTGTACATAACAGAGTGTTGCAAATACTGCGTGAGCTAATATTTAAGTGAACAGTGAGTGCTAAAAATGCACAGAACAGTGTTTTCGTTGATGAATTACAGGCGTTATTACATAATCTTCCAAGGAATAATAATCTACACTTGTCAATGTACCCAACCATTGTCCAGAGACCTAGGTTGGCAATATACAGAATCTGTTGGCATACGCCTGTTGAACCTTTGAATACATGTAGCGAAATATCGTTGGGTATTTTCCACCAGATCAATGTTTTGCCATATAGCGTAGGCATGGTTTATTACCATAGAAGCCTGTAACACATGTAACTGGATGTAGGTCAGTACTGTTAAGACCCAATGAGCGCAAAGAATTTATGGTTTGCCTGGCCTTTTGACAGTTAGCGAAAACTCTATCTTTACAAGACAGATCTGATGAGAGTAGAATACCACCATATTTTACTGATGGACTTATATTAATAGAGGTGTCGCAAAATGAGAATGTGAGCTCAGGACAAGATTGTTTCCCTTTCCGAAAAGTACAACAGTGCTTTTCGATGCATTGTATGTTAGGCGCCATCTGGAAGCATATTCTGAAACAATATGAAGTGAATTCTGCAGCCCAGACGGAGTGATACTTAACAGTGTCGTATCATCGACTAACAGGACTGATGGTACATCAATACCTTATACACATATACCATTGTTACTAAGTCTTAATTCAGTTAGTAAATCGTTTATGAAGACAAGGAAGAACCATGCAGACAAGACTCTACCTTTGCCCTACACCTTGTATTACTTCAAATGTGTCTGAGTTATTTCCGTTGTACATTACAAACGAAGAGCTGCAGGTGTAGCTATGATATAGCAGATTCCACATGTTACCCGTTATACCCAAATTGTGGAGTTTTAAGAATAGACCGCCATGCCAGATGCGATCAAAAGCTTTCTCATTATCGAGAAAAGCTGAGAAGACTTGAGCCACGTCAGCATAATATGTTACGCAATCATGGAGCATAAACGTCGACATAATTGCACCATGTTCTTTCTAAATCCAAACTGTGAAAGTGAGGATTAATATGGCTTATATAACATTGTAGACGTGACAGTAATAGTTTTCAAATAGTTTCCTATACAGGAGGTTAGGGTGATACCTCTATAGATTTTGGGATCACATTTTGCACCTTTTCCTCAATAACTTTGAACAATCATACCCGGTCTAAAGATATTGGGAAAGTACACAGCTTTCATAATTGCGTTATATAAGACGCAGAACTTATCGACCAGCACGTCACCTCCATAGATAAGATGTTCATTGTTTACGTGATCTGGTCCAGGAGATTTGTTACGCTTTAGATTAACCAGATGTTGTTTTACTCTGATGGCTTGATATCGGCATATAGTACAGCGTCAGCAGCAGTAGAATCAATAGGTTGTGAAATTATATCTGCCAGTTTGATATCCACATATGCTTTAAATTCATCATCAAAAGTTTCAGTAAGATGTGGTATGGCGTGGTTAGCATAGTAAGCACCCCACAGGCTACATATGGCCTCTTGTGTGTCCGCGTGGGTATTGTTAAACACAAATTGGTCAGCTGTTGACAGCGGGTGTCTCAGCTTACGCACAGATTTAAAGAAGGTATAAATATCAGTTTCTGAAGACATTTCAAGTTCACGAAATAGTACTTTGCTTTGGTTTCGTTTTGCCTGCCGATGATGTAAACGACGGAAATCGCGCTTAGCACGTTTGTATTCTCGATATGAAGAAGAATCGTCTCCCCTTGGTTTGCCGTCCGTTTGCCAGGTTCGCCGAGAGACTCGCATTTGGTAATGAGTATCATTTAGGCCGCTAATTTTCCAATATGGCTTTAGATAGGATCTAAATGTTCCAGAAGGAACGCACTCGAAACTAGCACTAGTAAGGGCATTACTTATCTGGGCCCTTATTCTCGAAACGTTCTTAGCCCTAAGAATTCTTTTACTTTAATCGTCGCCAATGTGTTGAGAATGGGTTTAAGAAGTTCGTAGGGCTACGAACGTTTCGAGAATAGCCAGCCTGTTCATCATAGAGCTCAATGTCTGCAGGTTGTGCTTTATTACATGGTATACATGTCAGAGAGACGTCTCTCTGTTTCCTCTGTGTAAGTATTTAATTCAGTGGAGTCAGCTTTGTGCCATTTTGGAATACATGTCAGTTTACACCGTGTAGAAGGAGATATAGCTTCAACAAGATAATGGCAACTCAAACGTGAAGGAGACTGATTTATCTCCAGTTAACCACGATATCGAACATCTGGATTCATAGTGGATTCTTTCCCATCTGTGACAAATGTCTCTGTGTAATGTAAAAATGTATTTACAGTATTACAATGGTTTGCGTTGATTCCAAAATGATTGTCCCTTTCCCGACTGTAAATGTGACTTTCACAACTGTCACCCAATTACCACAAGATTCAGGACAAATATGAACTGCTTCATTGAATTTAAAGAGCAAATTATCATTTTATTTGCTTTGAGGAATAGTGCCTGTAATCAAATACAATGTCTGAAAAATGATCATTTAACTTCTAACCATACCCTCAAGGATATTTGTCAAAACTGCTCGATCTAACACACTTACACTGAACCTCCAGTGTCACTGGTGAAGATGTGGATCCACCAAGGTGACCAACTAACAAACTTACACTGAACCTCCAGTGTCACTGGTGAAGATGTGACCACCACATTGCTCAGCTAACAACACTGACCACTAACACTTACACTGAACCTCCAGTGTCACTGGTGAAGATGTGGATCCACCAAGGTTATTGCTCAGCTAACAACACGGTGACCAACTAACACACTTACACTGAACCTCCAGTGTCACTGGTGAAGATGTGGATCCACCAAGGTTATTGCTCAGCTAACAACACGGTGACCAACTAACACACTTACACTGAACCTCCAGTGTCACTGGTGAAGATGTGGATCCACCAAGGTTATTGCTCAGCTAACAACACGGTGACCAACTAACACACTTACACTGAACCTCCAGTGTCACTGGTGAAGATGTGGATCCACCAAGGCTATTCCTCCCCTGACAGGTATAGGATCCTCCACTGGTCCTGCTGACGGAGCTGATGGTGAACACGCCGCCACTCGCTGACTGGATAACAGAACTGTTGTGAGTCCACGTGTATGACGTCACAGCTGGGTTAGCTGCCGTCACCCGACATGTCAGCTGGACATTCTGCTGACCTACATAGACTCTGTGTGGCCGACAGGTGGCGCTTCCTTGTGTCTCCAGAATCACCTCTGCTGGATCTGTGCGGCAATATAGACGTTACATCCTGACGTTGTTACATAAATAGATCCACCAGTGTAGACTAATATACTTACACTGAACATCAACACTGACTGTAACACTGTCACCAGTGTAGACTATATACTTACACTGAACATCAACACTGACTGTAACACTGTCACCAGAACATCAACACTGACTAGACTATATACTTACACTGAACATCAACACTGACTGTGTCAACTATATACTGTCACCAGTGTAGACTATATACTTACACTGAACATCAACACTGACTGTAACACTGTCACCAGTGTAGACTATATACTTACACTGAACATCAACACTGACTGTACTACTCCCGTGTGTATTAGAAGGCTGACATCTGTAGGAGCCTGTCTTGGATCTGTCAGCTTGTCCCTGGAGCACGGCTCCACTGCTGAAGACTGTTCCATTGTGTAACCACCTGTAGCTACATCCGGGTCTACAGAGGGCGGAGCACGTGATAGATGGAAGAGCCTGGTGTTCTGTCACAGTGTAGGAGGAGGTGGAGGGGTCAGGGAGATCTGGTAGGGACCGTCTGGAATAAAGGTTGACGTGGCACTGATACTGTATGTAGGATCTATCACTAGGTTTGCATATACGACCACACCTTTAGAAAACACTTCTTTAATGATTCAAAAACCGTGACAGCGCAAAGAAAAGAAAAAAGTCTACCCAAAATAAATGCATCAAATGACTGAGTGATTGGTCACACTCGCAAGGTCCGTAGTGGCTATCAAGATGTGATATACATGCTACACATAATTATTTTGTGATTATAACTATGCCTGTTCTTGACTATGGGACACAAGATAAAACAAAACAATAGCGCAAATATTCACTTTGATCATCTATACTAGGCACATAAAGAAACTGTGCATACAAAAAAATAAAATCTAAATTTATCAAACCTGTGTAGACACATAAGGATTTAAACTCAGAGATTAGTGACATGTATCCAACATGCATGCACGTGCCACGTTCCGTGACGTCAGTGGGTTCGTCCTTGAGACGTGCAATACGTTGTTGAACGTGCATTCCGGGAAAGAGAAACAGAGCAAAATGAATGCCACACAATACTGTCACTTTGGAAAGCTCAACCCCTGCCCTTTGCGATCGTTCAAAAATTTAACGGCTATTGAAACGCATAGCATGCCAAGGCTCACGTCTGCACAACGTCATGAGGCCATTGGGATGGTCCGTGGGGAATGTCTCAACGACAAGTGGCTGCACATTTCCACTGCCACCGGAACACCATTTCTGCATGGGTGAGACGCTACCAGAACACAAATGACGTCATCGATCGGCCACGTTCTGGACGTTCACGTGTAACAACGCCAAGACAGGACAGATGGATAAGGGTGACCCATCTGCGCCACAGGTTTCAGACAGTAGTGATGATTGCCAGAACCATCCCAGGAATTCGCCGTATCCACCTCAACACAGTTCGACAACGTTTACGTCATCACGGGATCAGACCACGACGTCCCGCCATACGGCCTTTCCTGACACAACGTCATCGACAAGCTCGCCGAATGTGGTGCCGAAATCATGTCCGCAGACCCTTGTTTTGGTGGAGAAATGTTGTTTTTACAGATGAGTCCAGGTTTAACATTTCCCATAGTGATGGACGTCAACGTGCCTATAGACGCGTGGGAGAACGTTATGCACAGGCCTGTGTTTTGGAGAGGAATCGCTTTGGTGGTGGTTCCGTGATGATTTGGGGTGGAATAACAGCACGCCAAAGAACTCCTTTGGTGATTGTTCAGGGCAACTTAACTGGTGTGGGCTACAGGGATCAGATTCTTCGACCTGTGGCAATTCCTTTTCTGCAACGTCATGGCCCTGGGTTAACATTCCAACAGGACAATGCCCGCCCTCATACGGCAAGGGTTGCTATGGATTTCTTGCAACACCACAACGGTGACTTACTGCCTTGGCCTGCAAATTCACCGGATCTCCCCGATAGAGCATGTTTGGGACGAGATGGATCGACGTCTACGTCGTCTTCCTCATCCGCCAGATAACGTCCTTGGCCTTACAACAGAATTTGAGAGAATCTGGCGTGACATCCCACAAACCTTCCTTTGCACGTTTGATAGGCTCTATGCGTCGTCGATGCACTGCTGTTCTCAATGCCGATGGTGGACATACCCGTTATTGAGCTTGTGACATGGTCGTTTGACCCCCGTCCCGCTTGTGGACTCTTTGTCATTGTGATTGACTTTTTTCAATTGAAATTCTCCCGACTTGTTATGGTCTCATGATCCCTCCATTAAAGTTTATATGTACCTTTGACATTGTTATCGTACTTATCGACTGGGATAATATTTTGACAATGCACAGTTTCTTTATGTGGCTAGTATAGTATTAATCAATATATTTCATGCAATTCGAATAAGCATCAGTTTGAGGAACTTAGGTTTGATAGTTTCTGTCACAAACTCATTGTTTGCAGTGGAGTACATTCCTCAACTATCCCCTTTACCAATTTACCAATAGATGGCGCCAATCACAACGACAAGTGTACTTCAAGTGTATTAATGATTTTCAAAGTTTCTTGCTCGGTCGATTTCAGAAGCGCAGCAATTACGATGCCTGAGACGTGCTGCTGTGTCTCGGGATATAGCAATAGACGATAATATTCCCGTTTCATCTTGGCACATTTTGCCGAAACACACCCCTTCTTATGCACATTTTTGAGACTCTGTCTCTGACAAAAAATATTATCAGTAGCCAACAGTCCTCAGTGCTTCATGAAAGAACTTCCATTATCGGTTTAGAAATTGGCATATTTTCAAGCATTGTGTATGTATAATTGTGTAGAAATATTTACATGTTACGATTAGATTAGACATACGTGTGCGGGTAGTCGCTGTGCGTACTCACACTGAGGCTCCATGTTGTACACCTGGCTCCACTCTGACTCCAGACCCTGACTTTCTCTCGCTCTACATCTGTAGCTGTGACTGTCCTGGAACTCACTGTGAAGGTGTAGGGAGAACCAGGGAGGTAACTGTGATGTCAGTGTTGTCACGCTGCCAGGTGTAGGTCAAGGTCAAACCATGGTCAGCTGGGACAGTGGTAGAGGTGGAGCTGCAGGTCAAGGTCACTTGCTGGTTGTAGACAGGTGTTGTTGACACTGGTGGACGTCCAGGTGTTGTGGGTTTGCCTTTCAAAATACATGATGTGTAAATTAGGTGCTTGTACATGTGGATTTATATATGAAATAGAGAAGTGGAGATAAAGATAGAATATACTAGTAACATTTGCAACCAATTGTGACTTTAGAAGTAACTGGCCATGTCAGCTACAGTTGGTTTACTGATGTAATAATGTTGACAGGGCCACGCTCCAAGTAGGCATGTAACTGGTTAATAAAGAACTCTGCCCAATAGTGACGGTCAGTTGTTGTGGGTTTGGAGCTTGTACATACAGCGTTTTGCATGTATTACATTTGCCTCTACGCATTGCATTTCGGTGTCGCTGACACATTTCTGGCCGTTATAGCCGAGGAACCTTCCATTTCCATGACACCATTACGTGTCACGGCGCACGCCAGACAAATTCTTGAGGTGCGGTTTCCCAAGGGTCTCACGAGTATGTTCAAATACACTGAACTGAGGTTTTGTGTTTTGTCAGACAGTACTGATGATTGTTCACTGCTATGGACTTGTATTGTTTGTGTAAGATCGATATATTCGGTAACATATGTTATTCAGCAACTCCCATGTTATTCTCGCCCTTGTAAAATATGTCCGATCATTTATATGTAGTGCTTTCAGTCACCACAGGTGTTAATTCATTGACCCATCACCTCTTACCTGATTCAATAGCCCGTTCGCCTCACCAAATTAGAATCCCAAATCTTGTTAACTGTCAAGACATAGTTCAAAACTAGTCCTGTAGTCAGTAATTAGGAAACTGTCCAATTATCCAGGTATCATAAGGACAACTAGATATTTTCCATGTTAAGGGTTTTGTAATGTTATCATTTCAAGGACCAGTGAACTAACATGTTTTTCCGCAGCAAAGTCAAGTCAAGAAGAGGTGAAAAAGGGCTCAACGCAATTGGCGACCTACATTAATCTTATGCTCCCTACTTGGCTGCCTAAAAGTAAACGTAAAGTAAACTGGCAAAAACATCTGTTTTACTAGTAAAAATACAGGAAATATTATTTAGGAACTTGTTTGCATATATAAATAAAAGTATAAAGGTTCTATATCATATTGATAAAATGTTATATAATTTTCTCATCTAATGGAGGGTGTTATCGGTGCAATAAAGCAATCTGATAAACTTGGTATCCAAATCTGATAACTATGCAAATTACGCCAATCAACGAACTACTTTCACAACACTCCATACACGCCATCCGAATCCTACAACGTTAACATTTCATTGCTGACGTCGTCGCGAGTTTACCTTGTTTGTAAAACAAACCTGGCTGCCCCCATTCTCAAAATTGATGATTCTGTAAGAATTGATGACAGAGGTTCTGGAGTCGTTACTGCAGTAATTGACTGTGGAAAACATGAAACGGAGTACTTCGTTCAAATTGAAGGTACGGATTATGAGGCACCACTGAAAGGCAATCGTCTAAGAAAGGTACCAGCCAAGGATTTCGATGTATCGATCACAATACAGACGAGGAATCGATTCCGTCAGGTATCAGAAACTGATATTGATGAGGTGATTACCCGCAATGAAAATAGAAACACAGCTTAGAAAACCGTGCCCGATTTTGGTGTTCATTTTAAGACAGAAAGATCTTTTTTAGCATGAGTTATGTTTGCACTGTATTAGCGACTAGTCACAACCATATGCCGCCGTCATGAACGACCATCACCTTGGTGTACCGCTAAGTATTCTTACGCGATTTCTCGTTTCTCGTAATTTTAAGAATGACATTATATGATCAAGAGATTATTAACCGCGTGTGTTTCCATATCATTAATATCATATATTAGTAATAAAAATATGTATTATGCTTGCATAATGCAATTTTTATTCCTAATATATGATATTAATGATACGGAAACACACTCGGTTAATAATCTCTATATATTTACAGTCAATACAGTTACAGGGGTGTCATTAATACCTAAGCTATTTTGTACCCTGACGTCCCATGTTGTATTTGCGTGCTGATAAGTGATATTGTGCCAAAAAAAAATATGTAAATTACTATATATAAACATGATAAAGTACCTCTCTATGTTGTAGATTCGCAACATACTTATCTGCCCTTGATTTGCATGCGCTAAACGTTTTGCGACTACAGTATATGTCTTTGCGAGTAGACGATTATTACAAGGTCCTGTTGTCACCGTTAGAATGGCACAGATAACCACATCAGTTACATTTCGTAGACAAATGCATGTTGGCTGTGAGCCTGGAATCAGAATGTAGCTCTTAATATGTTTTGTTAACTATCAGAACCATATATATGAAGGCAATCACCGAGGTCAGATTTCTTGAAACATTCTAAACCTGCTGATATTTCAAGACATTACAGATTTATTCATGGAGAATCAAGGCCAGTCATATTTGAAAGACCATAAATACATCCTTGAGAGGTCCAAAAGTCGATTTCTGTTGTGTAAAACACTGCATGTGTTCAGCTGAATACCTTGGAGCACGTACGGTTTTATGAGCTTTCCCTGATGGTGTGGGGTCGCAGAATACGCTACAGAGATCCGTCAGTCCAACCAAGCCCTCCATCAAGAATGGAACGCAATCAGGAGGAGGGTTGGGGATGTTTTCTTTTCAGTTCCACCAGATATTGACATTGTGCTCGGTTATAGATACTTATGCGATTTCTTGATGATTGTAAGCCACAATCTTGAAAATGACCGTACTTGTTAAAATCAAACGACTTGGACCAATACAAGAGAACAGGGCCAGTGCATACATTTCCAATACAACCGGTAGACAACAGAACCAGTGCATACATTTCCAATACAACCGGTAGAGAACAGGATCAGTGCATACATTTCCAATACAACCGGTAGAGAACAGGATCAGTGCATACATTTCCAATACAACCGGCAGACAACAGGAATGAGCCTCACACACTGTACTCATGGAGGGTATTGAATCAGAGCTCTGATTCCTCAGAAATTATTGAGGAAAATCATTGTTTCCTCATACTGATAATAGGAATTTAAAACAGGTGATACATTTTGTAGTAAGGTAGTATGGGAGACAACTCTTGTAGGGCTTAAGAATGAACCTTGCTACATCAAGTGCCTTGTCTCCCCTGGTGTAACACCAGACCGTGATTTTGAAAGGGGTGTGACTACAGTATATGAACTTTGAAGAATATTCAATCAGTAGTTGGGATAGAGCACAAGACAGGGCAGGGGAGGCCAAGGAAGTTGAGTACTACGGATTGCTGGTGACTTGGTCAGATTGTGAGTAGGGCAAAATTTAAAGCGTTGAGAATATCAGAAATGAGATGATTAATACAGGAACGCCTAATGTATGCAATGAAACCCTTAGACAAAATTATAAAGACTTAACTGGGTGAAAAGAAGCGGAATTCCCTCACCATTGATGAAAGATGCACAAAAGAAAGACGTTTTAACTGGTGTAGGGCTCACGAAAATCAAGATCAGGAGAAATGTTTTCTTCCCGTATGAAAGTTCAGTCTGGCTTTTTCCGAACTGTGAGAAAATTTGGACAAATGATCTTGTGAAATCTATCTACCAACTTCCAAAATATAGCCCGAAATTTCACATGTAGGGTGGGATATCATCACGTGGAGTGACGCCTTAATGTATTTTCACTGGAAATTTCACAAAGAAACGACATGTTGACATCATAAATGATCACTTTCCAACGGCCTGAACACTATATGAAGATAATTGGATTTTCCACGATGATACCGACCCAAAACACACTGCACAAAACAGTGGTTGTAGGACGACGAATATGTTTAAGCTTAAAGACTGGCCCAGCTACAGCCCAAATCTTTAACCCTATTGAGAATGTGTGGGGACTAATGAAGGACAGAATAAACCAAAGAGAGACTTAGATATTGACGATATGAGGAAAGAAACTTGGGATACGCTAGTAGTATAGTAGGTGGGAGCAGACGGTCCTTTTGGTTGAGGGAGGTTGAGGGAAGGAGTAAGGACATGGATTGGCTGATGTAAGTCACGTGATCATAGCTGATATATATAGACAGCACGTCACAGGTCAGGAAAGTTCAATGAAAGGTGTGGGTGTTTTAAGGCAGTCGTGCAGAAAACTCTTCATTAAGCGAGAAAAACAAACAAAAAGCAAAGTGTCCTGAATAGAGCTATGTATAGCATGCTGCCCTGAATAGACAGACAGACAGTACCGTCAGCCCGGTTTTGAATTGAGCGCGGCTTGACAGCTCACATGACTCCGTCGTTTTAAATAGCCCGTGCTCGACAGAGCCAATGCGACCTGTTTTGATGAATGCAGGGTGTGTGTGTGTTGAAAGTACATCGTATCACAATAGAGACGGTTGTGTGTCAACATGGTTCGGAGACGGAATCTTCGAGTCGTGTAAAATGTAGTTGAAAAACATTTCATACAGAACGCGTCCTGTACAAGTATAACACTATCAAAGTAATGGAAAGTTGGTGTAGGTTTATATTTCGTACTAGGTTGGGTTTTTTAGGGTTTTTCCATCCAAATATATGGCGTGATGAGAAATAAATGATTTTGAGCCATGTACACTAATGGATACAGTTTTAGTTTTACTAGACAGCGAGATGTTTGAAAAAGAGAGCTAGATAGAGATAGAAGCATATCAATATCATATAACACACGTATAATACCATGAAAGTCACGTCATTTGGAGAGAGACGAAAGAAATAGAAATGTAGAGAGGCTAGGAATCTGCTTATTGAAACAGTTCTGTCCTGCCCTGTTCAGACAGAGAGAACAGATTTTAGAAATTTAGGACGTGACACCCTCCCACCTCATCATTTCAAAATGCGTAAACTGTGTTAGCTCATATAAAATAAAGATAGTTATACCTCAGTCCAAAAGAACTCGCAAAATATCAGTGACATTTTGAAAATAACTAAATCCAGCTTCAGTTGTAGATAGCATCACATTATAGGCAACGTGATCAGACTGAAAAACCATAGTTCACAAAGTATACTCAGTACTCAAGGAGGACGACATGCATGACTGAACAGCCAATACAACAGGCAGGTGTGTGTACTGAGG